CCGCGAGTCCGAGGAGATCCTACGTCGCGAAGCCCGCTTGCTTGGCGACGACCTGGGTGCTGTCGCCCTCAGCCCCGCCAGCGCCGGGCTCCTGGGGGGCTCCGGGAGCGATGCGGACTCCGGCGAGGCGCTGCTCGGCCGGGGCACCAGCGCTGCCGCCGTCGCCATAGGGGGCAACGTCGCCACTGTCGCTACTTCCAGCCCCGGCGTGGCTGCAGTTGCCGCCGTGCCGCCGGGGAAAGGTGAGGTCCGCGGGGACTGAGGGGTCGGTCCCTCCTCTCGGCAGGATCCCCGCGAAGTGGGGAGCCTATGTGCTGCTCGCAGCCTCGGGGGCTCTCCATTATGCTGGGACACAAAGGTCGATGTCAGCTTCTCGGTGCTGCCGAGAGTCTACCCCAGCCTTCCGGGAGGTCCCTGAATGTCTCATTTCCCCATATAATCCATGGAGAAATCCGTATCTCCTGGAGCAAGGGACCAAGGACAGGGTGTCTCGCATTTGCAGGGAGCGCTGTGAAGCGAAAAGTGCTCCCGCTTATATTCGTGTCCCATCACAATTGATAAGAGTAGCAGGAACAGGAGGCTTCCATTGTAGTTAGTGGGGATAGTCCCGGGTCTGGCTGCAGGGATGAGAACAAAGATCTGAGGTACAGTCTGCGTTTTGGTGAAGGAGCCATGGAACTAGTTACATTTCAGGAACTGCTAGTCTGAGTTCCAGAGAGTGTACAGCTTGTTCCTGACATCATCAGATGTCATTGTTTTTATATAAAAAACAATGGAAGTATGTTACAACTGCTGTGTAGAACAGAACTGTCAGAGTGTTAAGTGCCCTTGCTCTGTGATGGTTGTGTGGTGGTCTTGATGAATTGTTCTCTTAATCTACTTAACTTGTTTATTTACTGGGACCAAAATAATTATAGTGGTATGTCTTACATTCTGTTCCTTGTTTAAGAGTTTCTAGCCCTAGCAATAAAATAATTCATTCTGGTGAGGTTAGTGGCTTCTTCCTTCACACTTTAAATCCTGTCTGAATTAGGCACTAAGTGCCTACCTCACAGGCATCTGTTGGCAGGGAAAGTCCAAAAAACTGCTGGGGAGAATTGGCTGCTGGACCAATGTGCTGTCACCTGTATTGTTTAGACTTGGTGCTGAACGTGCACAGGATGTGTTTTGCTCACCTGACCAGGGAGTTGTGGCCACTGTTTGTTTGCTGGCTCTTCCAGACTGTCTGAGCAGCTGTTGTTGTTGGCTGGTGCTTTTGCAGTCGGAGGTGCGGTGGTTGTGGAGGATCAGCCGGACGTGAGCGCGGTGTTGTCAGCCTACAACCAGCAAGGAGACCCGACGCTGTACGAGGAGTACTACAGCGGATTGAAACACTTCATCGAGTGCTCCCTGGACTGTCATCGGGCAGAATTGTCTCAGCTCTTTTATCCTCTCTTTGTGCACATGTATTTGGAATTGGTCTACAATCAACATGAGAGTGAGGCAAAGTCTTTTTTTGAAAGGTAATTAATTTTCATTTGCACATTTGTGTTATTTTGTGCTTGCTGCTTTGGCTAAATCTGTGAACTATAGTAGCATAGATTTTTATGCGTATACATGGGTATGTATTATTTTTCTTCTCTAAAGTTGAATAGGCTTGAAATCTGAAGTAACAGTGCCATGGGTTGTAGCACCTGTTCTTAAACTATTTTCCAATCTCCTGTTAGAAAGATGTGCAAACTACTGAACTGTTCATTGGCAGAGTTTGAACCATGTTAATGGTGTGCTGATGGGCTCCTTGCTGCAAAAGGATCAGTGAAGAGATTCTGCATCTTTAGGGAAAGATTGTGGGGTCAGTTTTCAGCAATGGAAGATTGCATTGGGATGCCAAAATAATGAATGCTATAAGTGTTTGCTGATATCATAGCATGTACATTGAAATTCTTCAAATGAGCTTAAATAAATTAATTTCTGGGTAGTCTATAAATTTCTATACTCTTACTATGTTTCACTTCTTTATCACTTGAGAGGAAAATAGAATTTAATTTGTTTCATGGATTCAGACCAATTGTGAAATACTTCAATCCAAAAGGATAACTTTGTTTCCCTTCAAATGGTTCTGTAAATAGTTAAAATGTCCCTTGCCACAACTATTTTATAGCAAATTGAGTGACTGAATGTTTTATCATATCTTAAATTGCTTCAATAGATTTCATGGGGATCAGGAGTGCTATTACCAGGATGACCTGCGTGTATTGTCGAGCTTAACCAAAAAAGAACACATGAAAGGTAATGAGACCATGCTGGATTTCCGAACAAGCAAGTTTGTGCTGCGCATTTCCCGTGACTCTTACCAACTCCTGAAGAGGCATCTTCAGGAAAAGCAGAACAATCAGATCTGGAACATTGTTCAGGAGCATCTTTACATTGACATCTTTGATGGAATGCCTCGCAGTAAACAACAGATAGATGCTATGGTTGGAAGCTTGGCTGGGGAGGCAAAACGAGAGGCTAATAAAGCAAAGGTAGGAGACAAAAATTGTTCCACTTTTTACAGTTCTCCCTGCTTTTTCAGGGAGATACCTTAGTACAGATTAACAATCATAACTTGAGATCTTAAAAGACAGCATGAACAGAACAATGGAAGAGAACTGTACAAACAGATTTTGACAGGAGTAGAGAGATCAAGACGTATTGTTGTCAGGTGAACAAAACTGCTGAACAATTTTGAGAGACAACCTTGTGTTCAGCCCACTGAACTAAATTTGAACTAACTCATTAATTACTTCAGAGTTTTAAAATAGACACCTGACTGTTTGGCTTCCTGTTTTGTACAACAGATAGTAATTTTGACTTGCTATCAGTTTTCTTCTCTATTGGAAGAGCTATGTGTGTAGTACCACAGTAATATACAAATAAATGCGGTAGGATGGGGATTCTGCTTTAAAAAAGTGGTAAGAGATGAAGGGAGAACTTATAATTGTCTAGATCAGTTGAATAGGTAAACCAGAACATGTACTACATTCCTTGTGGGCTAAGCAGTAATAAATGCTGTAATTTTAAACAGAGCAGCTTTAAAAGGGGCAGCTCTATTGCTTGGACTGCTACATTGAAAAGCTACCATTAAAAAATGTAGTTTTCAGTTAGAACAGCAGTTACTGTTTTGTCTTGTGTGGTTTTTTTATTGGCTTGTAGGTTTTCTTTGGCTTGTTGAAAGAACCAGAGTTTGATGTGCCTTTGGATGATGAAGATGAAGAAGGAGAAAATGAGGAAGGAAAGCCAAAGAAGAAAAAACCTAAGAAAGATAATGTAGGGTCAAAAAGTAAAAAACAGGATCCTAACGCTCCTCCCCAAAACAGGTACCAAGGAAATTATGTGTAGAGAAGTCTTTAAAATCCAGTATTGTCAAGCCAAATCTACATCTCTGTTCACATGGTATTTTTGTTATTTTGACTATTTTGGCTGTACACAGCTTTAGTTGTAAGACTTCCAAGGGAGGTCATGGAACTCTTAGCATATAACCCTCTGTCATTGCCTATCAAGTCAATCCAGATTGCCCTTGATGAAATTTTACTTGTTTATCCACTAATCTTTTCAGGTCATACTCAGTTGTTTATCTTGTTCCAGTACCTGTCTGAAACTCTGAAAGCTACTGGCTCTCTTTCTCATCAGTTAGTCTTCTACATAGTCTTTTTTGTTTCTTATTTGAATACTGTGGTATGGGCTTGCATGGGAAAGTTTTGCTTGCTTTGTTTGGATTAACAGGAAGGTATTTTTACTTTGTAAAAATATGTGCTTCTTGTGTAGAATTCCTCTGCCAGAACTGAAAGACTCTGACAAGCTGGATAAAGTAATGAATATGAAGGAAGCTGCGAGGCGAGTGCGTCTTGGACCTGAGTGCCTGCCCTCCATCTGTTTCTACACATTCCTTAATGCTTATCAGGTTGGTAAAAGATACATTTGGAATTTGGGTAATAGGGGAAAGGGCATCAAAATTATGAGCAGCCTTGTTGCTAAAGACATAAGACGTAAGAGTGTTGGCAAGGGTAATTGGAGTATTTGGATTAAGCATTGCCTAGTTTATGTTCCAACATATTCAAAATTCTCTTCAAATAGTGCTTAAAGTATAAAATTTCCTTGCTCCTTGGTTTTGCTTGGATTTTGCTATAATTCCTTCTTTCACTTTTCCTGTCCTAAGTGTTTCCTACAGGACACAGTAGATGTTTTGCCCTGGAGTATTGCTGGAAAGCAATACTCTTTGTCACTACTGACTGTACTTCATACATAAAGCTTTATTGTGAATGGGGCAAGAATTTGTGTTTATGTTTATCCTACAGTAATTCTCTCAATTTTTGTAGATGAGTCAAATTACCTTTTTAATGGTTCTTAGGATTTTGTAATATTTGCAATATATCATGAGAGATGCAAACAATATAACTGGATATTTTGTGTGTAGGGTCTAACTGCAGTGGATATTACAGATGACTCCAGCATGATTGTAGGAGGCTTTGCTGACTCCACTGTCAGAGTGTGGTCTGTGACTCCAAAAAAGCTACGTAGTGTGAAAACAGCTGCAGGTAATTAAGAAAATAACAGTTAATAAGAGCATGAATAGCTTGTGACATTTGTGTTCTGCCTGAGCAGTGAAGATCTCTGGCAGGAGAGTTGGCTGCAGTGGTTAGATGCTTCCCTTTGAAGAAACAGTATGTGCACATACATGATAATATATGGGATATGTGATAAAATATGTGCACAAACAATATAGGCTTACATCTTACATACTACCATTAGAAACAGTTTTAAAGGAATGAAAAATCTGGTCATGTACACCTGCTATGAGGTGGTCAGTGCACAGAACTTGGAACTAGCCATAGCTAGTGTGGAACTAGCCATCCTGCTTCTTTAACTGGATGGTAACTACAGGGTGTAATAGAAATAGGGGTTAGGTGATCTAGGAGAGAGACTAGAGGTAACATGGGGGAAAGGATAGGAGGGAACTCTGAGAAGGTTGGAGAAGAATGTCCTAAGCTAAACACCTACATGAATTCATGGAAACTAGCCTGCTTTAATTCTGATTTTTGTATAACAATGTATTGTGGTTGAAGCTGGATGCTTTGCGAACATTTCTTAATCTTGATATTTAACTGAGATGATGTAAAGATGACACTTATCTTTGACCTTCTGACAGTTATTCTGATACATGAACTTTGAAATCTTGCAGACCTCAGTCTCATTGACAAAGAATCAGATGATGTCTTGGAGAGGATCATGGATGAGAAAACAGCAAGTGAGTTGAAGATTTTATATGGTCACAGTGGACCTGTCTATGGCACCAGCTTCAGTCCTGATAGGTAAAAGTTTACAAGCTAACTAGTTTGCTTGTCTTCAGTTTTAATTGCATGCAGCTGAGTGAGAACATATTCTTAGTGCAGCTTTTTCCAAGTTAAAGCAATTCTTGCTCATGCAGCTTGTAAGATACTGTGTAAATGCTCATGAAGTTCAGGGTGTTGAGCTCTGTCAGCTATTACTGAAATCTGCTATAGATGAGAATACCAGCACCATTTTGGAGATTTAGGACTTAGATGGCAAAACTACAGTTTTACAAATTCTAGTTTAAGCTGGGCTTTAACTAACTGATATATAGAGAGGAAAATTTCTGCAATATTAATATAATTTAGAGTGTTGCAAGTCTCAGTAGCACATCATTGGACTTCAAGTTTCTCATATTCTATTGAGACTTTATTTTCAGAATGTATGGAATTGTATCTTTAAAATAAGAGATTTTAAACCTTTGCTTAATGGTGGGAGTCTGGACAGTGGAAAAAGAGGTTTAAATGTCTCAGGTTTTGCTTTAGCTTGTGTTTAGTCAGGAAACAGCCACCACAGAAACACAGCTGAGCAGTAAACTTTGTGTGGAACAAATATAGTCTATAATTATTAATTGAGAATGAGAATACGATATGAATTCTCTTTCAGGGAATCGTGAAATTTTGTTCAGAGTTGTAATAGAAGATCCTTTAAAAAATAATATAGCAGTTTACTAATAATTTTTTCATGTAACTGGAATTTCTGAGTAAATACTTCCTCTGTGGTGGTTTTTTTTTCCCCTTGTTCCCCTCAGTATTAAATGCCATCAGAGTTGATCATCAATGTCAAATCATGCCTTTTTTTTGCATAAGGGCCTAGGAGTGGGTTCTGCTTGAATTGGTTATTGTTGCTTACTGCACTGAAATGCTGTTTTATGGGTGACATGCCAAACTGGTGCTGCTGAGGAGACAGTTCTATCATGGACATCTCACAGTGTTTATGCAATATTTATACAGCCCCTGTGTGAGTTTGATATGTTTTATGCTATACTTTCTCCTGTGACAGGAATTATCTATTGTCCTGTTCTGAGGATGGCACCGTGAGATTGTGGAGTCTCCAAACATTCACATGTTTGGTGGGATATAAAGGACACAACTATCCTGTTTGGGATACACAGTTCTCTCCTTACGGCTATTACTTTGTTTCTGGGGGACATGACAGAGTGGCTCGGTAAGAAACTGCATGTGTTTTTTTTTACTTGTCTGGGTCAGTTTGTGGCGGATCAACCCTGAAAGTCATTAGCTGATACACTCTTGCCTACTCTATTACTCAAAATAAATTTTATATCAGTTAAAATACTGAACAAATGCTTTAATGCAGTTTTTCTATTTTTTTCAACACACATTACATTATTTGATGACTAAAGAGATCATGTCCTCCTAAGTCACCCTCTGATTAGAAGTATTCTCCTGTAATTGTTGAACAACTTGACAGAATAATTTTTATTTCTCCATTCTGAAAAGGATATTTTTCCAAAAAACATTCTGCTAATTCAATAAACCGATCCATAAGAAATCACTCCACAATTACTTTTTTTTCTCATTGTGCAACTGATCATGGAATCATGGAACAGTTTGGGTTGGAAGGGACCTTTAAAGGCCATTTAGTCCAACAGCCCTGCAATGAGCAGGAGCATCTTAAACCATATCAGGCTGCTCAGTGCCCCATCCAACCTGACCTTGAATGTATCCAGGGATGGGGCATCTCCCACCTCTCTGGACAACTTGGGTGTTTCACTACCCTCATTGTAGAAAATGTCTACCTTATATCTAGACTAAATCTACCTTCCTTTAGTTTAAAATCACTATCCCTTGTCCTGTTGCAGTAGGTCCTGATAAAAAGTCTGTCCCCGTCTTTCTTCTAATCCCCCTTTAAGTACTGAAAGGCCACAACAAGGTCTCCCCAGAGCCAACTCTTCTCCAGGCTAAACTGTTATCCTTTCCTCACTGGAGAGCTACTCCAAAAGATACAGAGACTGAACTTCTTTAGGGATCTTTTATTAATAAAGCTTTTTTTTTTTTCAGTCTGTGGGCAACAGATCACTACCAGCCATTACGGATCTTTGCTGGCCATCTTGCAGATGTGACATGTACCCGATTTCATCCAAACTCCAACTATGTTGCTACAGGCTCAGCAGACAGGACTATAAGGCTCTGGGATGTTTTGAATGGGAATTGTGTAAGAATATTCACTGGACATAAGGTAAAGGCAGTTCACTGACAGTGTGAAAGTGATTTTATTTATTGAAAGAGATTCTTTACAGTTCTGTTCTGAGCACGGCTTGACTGACTGAATGTGAGTAGACTTAATTAACTTGTTTTACTGCCTTTCCATATCTGCTTTAGGGACCAATTCATTCATTGGCATTTTCTCCTAATGGACGATTCCTGGCTACTGGAGCAACAGATGGAAGAGTTCTGCTGTGGGATATTGGACATGGCTTGATGGTTGGCGAATTGAAAGGGCACTCTGACACTATCTACGCGCTCAGATTCAGTAGGGATGGGGAGATTTTAGCATCAGGTAAAATTCACCAGGAACAGTGAAGTGTCCATTGTATTCCATAATTCTGGAAAGGAATGATATAATTAGTTCCTTAAATCGAGAAAGACAAAGTAGAATCACTTGCTTAGCAAAAGCAGCAAGGACTGGTAACTTATGTGTGCATTCAGTATGCTATGAGGCTTGCAATAGTTTTCTGCTCTCTGAGCTTTAATTTCTGTTAACTTGCTCCCCAGAACCATTTTTCATATACTGTTTTATTAATAAAATAGTTTAAACTGTGGGGTTTTTTTTCTTTTTAGGTTCAATGGATAACACAGTTCGTCTGTGGGATGCTGTGAAGGCTTTTGAAGACTTAGAAACTGATGACTTCACTACAGCCACTGGACACATAAATTTGCCTGAAAACTCACAGGACTTGTTACTGGGCACATACATGACCAAATCAACCCCCGTTGTTCATCTCCATTTCACACGCAGGAACCTGCTGCTGGCTGCGGGAGCCTACAGCTCACAGTAGATCAGGAAGCTGAAACTGACTGTGCCAAGTCATTGCAGTAGTGACCTCAGGACGTGAGACGAGGGAATGTCTTGAACAGAAGGACTCCACAACTCCATTGCAAGGAGTATGAAACTGTAATTAATAGAAGCAGCATTTCTCAGTTCTGCTGTTTCATATTTATCTGCAATTTGAAAATGCTGGAGATTGACAAGACATTGTGGCTGTAAAAGAAGGAACTGTTCGTGGTGCTTTTGGTAACATAGATACATATGAAATGAGCATCTCTTTCCAGAGGTGGTACTGAGCTCTGCTGAAACTTGTGAAAAGTTAACAGCCTTTACATGTGTTCTTAGATTTTTTTAAAGCACTTAATTTATGGTTAACAAATGTTTCATCAGTCTCAAACACAAGCAAAACTGTCCATTTTCAGGAAAGAAGAATGTAGTTTTGATTCACTACCGCCTGGGCTGGGCAGCAGGCATGGTGAGATCATAGCAACAACCAGGGCATTGATGGAGTGGGCCGGACAGCCCGATGCTTGTGGGGAACTGCCGCGAAGCTCCGTGCATGCTTTTTATGCAGCCAGATACTAAGTCCTGAAAAGATTTCAAACTCATGTGCTCTTTTGAGGTGTCAGAAACACAGATCTTGTTACTGTTTTCAAAGGTAGCCAGTGCTGTCAGTGTGATAAGCAACCAGAAGTGCAATGTGAACTTTATTTACTTTCATACTTTAATGTATGAGAAAATAAAAAAGGGGAATTGAGGCACAACTGAAACAGTCACTATTAAAAATGTGAACTAAAACTCTTTACTTTGTATTAGATGTAAAAGAAGATTAACAACCTGTATCCTTGCTGCATAAGGCTTAACATAAAAAACCAGCAAAACTAGCCAAGAAATTGAAACATAGCAGCACAAAAGGCTAAGCGCATCATCAGCTGGTTTTTGAAAGGCCAGCTTGTCTGCTGAGTGACAATTCCTATCTACAAGAAGATTGTACCCAGTGAGTCCTCCTGGACTACCAATAAGGCTGTGTTTTCTTTTAAAGGAGAGTAAAACATGCAGAACACTGGGAAGAATGTCAGTGTCTTTGAATTGAAAACAGCACACCAAAAGCCAGGTCCAGTGTGGCTTGGGTTTGGGTTGGTTTTTGTTCTTACAAGATTTGTGCAGAGAAATCTGTTTTGTGTTCCTCATTACTTCACAGTAAGGACTTGCACACTTGAACAAACTACTGGCTCTCTAGTGAAAATAAAAACAAGACTTGTCATTTCTAAGGTCAAGTAAATGGAGAACTACCTCCTCTTTCATCTCTTGTCTTTCTCTTAGAGTAAAGCTATACTACAGGCATTATACATCAAAAAAAAAAAGTGGAAAATTCACTAGGACACCTAGACATTTTCTTCAAAGAAAAAAGCTGAAACTTTTTTTTTCCTGTGTAATGATACCTCAACAAAATTTCCTAGCTCTCAATATGACCAGTTAGATCTAAGTACAATTTTTGATAGCTTAAAGAAAACACTGCTGCCACATTCTGCCTTTGTGTTTTGTACAGTTTTATACTTTTGATATTATAATAAATACTAAAACCACAGTTTGTGTCTATATGTTGTTACAAGATATTTCCTTAATGGCTGCAGTGGAAACAAGAACAGTTTGTAACTGTGACAACTCTGCTAAGAGAAACAAAGTAATCAGAAATGTTTAAGTTAAGGAGTAGCCATTCCCTGTCAATCTTGTTCTAAAGGAAGGGGACAGGTTCTAGCTCCTGAGATTATTACACTCTTTAGAGCTGCCATTCTTCGGTGGTGGAATTAAATACAGCTGAAGCCATCAATGCAAACACTCAGGAGGGAAAGATGACCAGATTTGTTCAGCAGACCCAGCATGTACAAAAAATGGCTTTAAAAAAAAATGAAGTAGAGAGAACATCAAGACCCCATAATTAATTTTTCCATTTTTTCCAGCAATCATTCCTACCTCCTGCTGCTTTCAGTTTGGGAAGGGTATTTGCCAGCTTTGGAATGGTTCAACCCCTGCCGCTAGCAGAAGCATAGTATCATCTCCCACATCAGCACTACTGTGACATCCAAGGAAGGTACCAAGTTGTAATTAACGTATAGAAAGACACTGGAGAATATGAGACAGATTTTAGTGTTGGCAGGGAGGAGGCTGCACACACCTAACTGTGGTAGAGCCTCCTTTCGCAAGAGACAGGAAAAGTAAGCACTGGACTATTTGGTCAGTGTTTATGAGTGTGCAGAGTTACAGGTGCTTAACATCAGCAGGCTAAGTCATTTTCCTTTTCCCCTCCACAAGAGAAGCCAGTAACAGATAATGTTTAAACAGAGTAACTGGGTTGGCCTATTTTCTGAGGTTTTCTATGAAAGCTAAAAAGGTTCTGGGCAAAATACAGACAACTGAAGATGTCATGGTTTCCATGTAAGCTACTAGCTTGGAATGCAAAAAGTGGGAGCAAGCAGGTGGCTGACAACCATGCAAGCTGTGACACAGACATGTGGATCATGCTTGGATCAGCTCCAGGCCCTGTGCAGTGTTATGGCTGTGCAGCTGAGGTTCTTCCTAGGTCACTGCCTGGTGCTCGGAACACCTCAGGATGTGTACAACAGCAGCAGAGTTAAGATAGTAATGACACAATCAGATGCTCCACCTCTGCTACAAGCAACTATTTTTGACAAAGGAGGAAAAATAAGAAGTACCATACTTCATCTTTTTTGGACCATTTCATACTTCCAATAAAACATGTAATTATTTATATTTTATTAGCCACAACAGGTCATCAGCTTGCATTAATTACATTGACACAGACTGGAGGTTCAGACATGCCAGGAACCTGCCAAGAGAAGAAAGGTCAAACATAGCAATTCTTGCACAATATTAACGGAGCATCCCCCTGCCCCAAGCCCAAACTATTTTAGCTACGAGCAGCCAGATTTCAGCACAGCCAGGAAGAACTGACTGATGTTCCCTTAACACACAACAACAATGCTAAAGCTTATTGGTTTATATGCCTTTCTTCAGGCTATGAGGACAGCTGATTTCCATCATATGGTGCTCCTTTACTCTGTTCAAATGAAGGTTTTAACAGATTGCATTAATCTCTACTTGGAATTCTAATACAGCCAAGAAGTAAGTCCTAAGGCACTATTTCATTATTTCAGTAACCTACAAAGCAAGTTATCCCTACATTACAGCAAAAGGGCAGACCAGAAGCACCTAATATTTGTAGGCAAAGCTTAATGCATCTTGCTGCAACATCCTTCTATTCCTCCCTCCTTGCATTCCATCCCCAGTCCCATTTACCACGGCAGAAGAACAACAATATTGTATCCCATACTTTCTGCACTCCCTTTAATAACCCACTTCATGCAGAATGCCCCCAAATAGTTGATGCTATAGATTATTTGAGGTTTAAAATGGTAAAGAGGAAGTCCACATGCCTGTGTTTCTGTCTCTCATTACACTGTATTGTTGGCAACTAGTCCTTTGTCACCGCTTTCTGAGCTGAAACATTTTGGTCCTGGAGGAACATCAGCCACTTACCTTTTACTTAGCTGTCACAGCAGGAGTTTGCTTCTTAGGCCTAAACTTGAAATACAAGACAAGGAGCGCAACACCTGTGTACGTTGCTATTACATACTGGAAAACAGAAAAGTTAAATTCAGTTTCCATCTAAGCCCCAGAAGACACCATTATACAAGACTACAAAACAATGTACATAATACATACATTTCTCCTGCCTATGATGGTATAGGAATTGAAGTACTTCTGAAATCCAGTGAACTGGTGTTGAGATCCCGAGTCATGGCCAGCCATGGCTGCTTGTCCTAACAAACAATACAGGACAGTTAATTAATTTAAAGTCACTTGGATAGGATCAATAGGAAAATTAAACTAATCTCTACACTGAGCTTCATAATTCCATTGTCTACTCCTAAATCTGCTTTCAGGACATTTGACAAGTAGTGGATATACATAAGGAGTAGGCACATCTAGAGCATTTTCTCTCGAAGAACAAAACAGGTGATGGGAGCAGATAAGCAAATAAAGGGTTCACTGCATAATAAAAGCAGAGTGGTTTTTTAATGTTTAGAGATATATTTTTCTGAACAGGATGTTATGTTTAGGACAAACATTTGTTGTCTTCTGCCTCCCTCCTAAGGCATCCCACACCCGACACAGTTCCTCAGCCCGGCAGGTGCTGCAGCCCCCGGTGCCCGTGTAGCAGACACACGAAAGTGCACAGCAGGTGCTGCGGTCATACAGCTCCTATGTGTCATCTATCGCTTATCTAACCCAATCCAGCAGCGTTACTCTGGCGTATAACCAGGCAAGCGTTAGCTCGGCTGACTGCAATTGCTAAAAAACTTAATGAAACAGCCCCTCTAAACGTGTGCCACACGCTGTTGGCAAAGACTTAAGAAGCCAAGGTCATCTTTTCCCGTGCCTGACCGATGCAAAATCCTGGGCAAGAGCCGAGACGCCCTTTCGGGGACGCGAAAGCGCCCCGTGACAACACGAGTCCTGTTTTCCGGAGGAGCTCTATGCCCTTGCCCAGCTACACCCGCGACCCCGCGCTCGCGTCGGGCCGGGGAAGGGACGCGGAGGCATTCGGAGGGAGCGACGCCGTGGCTGAATGTCGCGGGTGCCCAGGCGCTGCGGAGAGCCGCCCTCCCACCCGGCAGGAACAGGACCCAGCTCGGACCCAGCTCCGGCCCAGGACCCGGCCCTGCCCAGGCCGCCCC